GGGAAGAGGGGGAAAAGAGGGGTGGGGGGATGGTGGGGAGAGAGGGGGAGAGTGTTTATGAAACGGGCGTGTTTCAACACATAATATTTATTCTCCTTTGTGATGTGTGTATGCTCGAGTGCACATGGGTTTGAAACACCACTACCAACGACCAAGATACATTTCTCACTGCGAGATGAATAAATATTGCCATTGTATTTGTCATTGTCATTATCATTGAATTATGTCAAATTCAAAGAGCCCCCCCCCCCCAACACATAAAAAAAACAACCGGCGAGGCCAATAGTAGACCTGTTCCCTTTTTTTAACCACAGTGATGATATGCTTGACAAGTAAAGTGTGACGGGCATTTTAAACGGTTTCTGGTCCACTACTGCATTCCAAGGCCTCAAACACTGGGTCACGAGGTTTTTTCTTTAAATGAAAAACAAAACAAAAACATAATAACAATACCCGTGAACAAAAGAGCGGGTGGTTGAGTTATTCTCAAGATTACGATGCATCTTGATTTCAATGGAGGGGAAAAGGTTTTAAGAGCTCTGTACATATTATATTTCCTCTGATCGGTTCCTGATAAACTATTTTAACAGACAGGGTAAAAAACGCAAGTCAAAAAGAAGGTCAGAGCACTGATGAGGCTATGACATATTCATCTGTTCACTTTTCTTCTGATAAGGACAGCTCGACCAGAAGACATCAACGGATATGCGACTTTTTTGGTCTTTTGTGGCCCGTCGCTTTGTTCTCCATGTTAACCTTTAAAATCTAAGAGTGCGTAAAAAGTAAGGCACACCTAGACTAGAATCTGAGTATTTCAAAACCTGCAAGCATTAAAGAAAGTAAGTATAGACTCTACAGCGCAGTAAACCTGAATTAAGACCCTCAGCGTGGGTGGTTGGCGGGTGCTCTGGTATGGTTTGCTCCTTCTTTCCTATCAAACATCTATCGTCCTTGTCTCCCCTTTTTCTTTTTTATGTTTGTTACTCTCTTGTAACACCTCTAATCTTCTGGCGCTCTTTTGACCTTATGCAGTTGCGAGAGCCGTAAAACCTCTACAAAAACTAAACTAAGACTCTCAGAGATAACTTAGTGCTTGTGTGATGACACATTACAAACGACTGCCCAACTGAACAGTGGGCACACACTGAGATGCGAGACAGCGAGATAAAACAAAAAGTTTGCAATCGAAGCAAAGAGCAAAGATCCTCAAGATATTAAGGAAGAAATCATTGTCATCTGAATCATTCGCTTTCGTTTGTTTTTTCTTCATGCTGATATACCGGTACCCTGAATAATGAATACGTCTATTACATTCAATATTTTATAAATGCCAGCGTTGTTTTGCCGTTATTCCTCTCCTTCTTGTGCTACCGTTTGATCTTCCTTTCCTAGGTAATTTTAAAAACATTCAATATATATAGTGTCATTCGAAACTAACCATCTAACAGTTAAAATTCAAAGTGAGAGGAATAAATGTTGCAAGTGTTGTTAACAAACACTGCTTTTCTGGTCCACAAGGATTAGGAATTGATTTTAAAAAGTGGGAAATATACTGTGGTTTACTTTTCATAGTCAAAACTGATTTGCCGGTACCCTGAATAGTGAAGAGGTCTATTACATTTAATATTTTATTAAATACCTGTCTAGCAAATTGTCTATTACATGTAATTATGTGACCATATGAGGTTACTGAACACGCAGTACTACAAATGAAACACAGAGAGAGGGAGAGAGAGGGAGGGAGAGAGAGAGAGAGAGAGAGAGAGAGAGAGAGAGAGAGAGAGAGTGTGGGGGGAGGGATGGTGGGAATAGAGGTATTATGTAGAAAACCAGAACTTTTGAAATTCAAATGTGATTGAGAAGTCAGACTGTGTTAAGACGTCTCCATTTCAGTCTGTGAGTTGCATGTTTTGTGACAGGCTTGGTAGGTTGCTCTGCTGTGATTTAATAAGATTTAAGATGTGACATATAGAGATTCGGTTTCAATAATGGCGAATTTTGTTGTTTGCTCATTACCTTTGGTAGTTGTGGAACTGCCATTTTAGTGATTTGTGTACCAGACCATTCCACATTTCCAGGCCGTGAGCAAGGGCTAGGGTGTTGGAGAAAGACTATGTATCAAACACATCCTGCAAGATGCTGCCTTTCAATCGTTCCTTTTATTCTCTTCTTGACTTGGTATTCTCTTCTCCGCTCTTCTTTACATCCTTTTTGATTTGTAAGTATTTTACGGCACTTGCAACTGCGTAAGGTCATATGAGCGCACGGGACACGCCAAACATTTTCAGTTGGTAGGAAATTTTAAATTTTGCCCTAGTGGCGGCCGAAGCCTACTCTTATCGATTTTGGACCACCAAGGGATCTTTAACGTGTGCAGCTTGCTCATGGGACCTCCGAGAGTTTTCGCCCTTTTCCGAGAAGGCTAGAGGTAGATCTTACCTACCATAAGATCAGGGGTGTGACTGAAAGACAGCAGTAAGAAGTAGCCAAGGAGAAGGAGTACAAAGGGTGCAGAAAGAGTCAGGAGCCCAGAGGAGGGGGCAAAGGGAGTGAGGGGGTGGAGGGACGAAAGTGGAGACGAAAGCAGACGATCTAAAGACGTAGATCTAGTTTGGCACACTTTTACGAGCTTCAAAAAAGGCAAAAATTGCAGTGTGAAAGTTGTCAGGTTTAGTTAGAGCTAGAGAGCTAGAAGGTCAAGTGATAGGTTATCGGGTTCTTAGAATGATAAGGCAAAGTACACTCGTAGTTCGTCTCATGAGGTCTTAGATACCGCATACACTATGAAAAATGTGAACTTTTGACATTTGACACGAAGGCCACAGATGGAGAGTTTGCATCGTGACAATTTAAGGTTTCTCTTCTGTAGTTGTGCAAGCTCACTAAAATTTTATTCTGAGAAAAAAACAGTATCACTTACGCACACCCTCATGCTACGTGATCCTTCGACTTAGCTCGCAGTAGATTTGTTCTACACCCAGAACTCAATTTTTATTGTGGTCTTCGAATACGAGCTATGAAATCCTTGAACGAAGAAGTGAGCTGCATGCAACCCCGAAACTTTTGATGAGCTTTCAACAGTGTAACTCATACATGTATAACATAACCTGTTAACAATCTTATTTTGTGCTTATTAAAAATAACCCACGTAGGCACAATTCTATTCAGCGGATGCGCTTAGGTTTTCATTCATCCTTCATACAGTTGAGGCTTTACAAACACAACTCCCACTCAATGGTGCGTGGGTCTTTTTGTTTAACCCTATCCGTACGTCGTAGTTTACTATCCATACGACGTGGGGAACGGGAACCCTGTGCCACCACTTTCCAAAGAGGAAATGTATTCGTTAATCCGATCTGTACACTTTGCATAGTCGTCTGCCAAAATGATTTTTTGAGAAATACTGAAAGTTTCAAAGAGATCTTCCTACTAGATCTAGAAGTATTCTAAAAGTGAAGAATACAACCTCGGCGGTACAAAAATGACCCCAATGCGTACGGATAGGGTTAATTACGTTGGCCCGCTACACAACATGTCTCAAAACAAGGCTAGAAGACTCTTGATGCAACCGAAGGCCTTGAGGAACAGAATGGAATCTAGGTCTAGCTGCAAAAAAACAACAACCCAGATATTCACTGGAGCAAAATAACACATTCATCAAAACGAATGTAAATCGACATGAAAGAGGACTTAACGTATTTTGGGGGCTCAGAGAAATCAATACACACGGGTAAATCAGATGGTCCCGACTCTGGGAGAGGAGCTTCAAAAGACTAATAGATTTAGCCTAGATATCTTGTGGATTAAAATATATTATGGAGGGAAGTGCAATAGG